ACTCGCGATAGTCGTTCTCTCTCAGCTTAAGTGGAGGACGGGAGATTGATGCCGTGGGCTGATTTGGGTTCCCGGGAGGGGGGGAGAGAAAAGCAGAGTATAAAACATTAAAAAATACATTATTTTTTTACATTATTCTTAGTCCATTTTTCTTACTGAGACTCAAGGCAGATTACACAGTGTAAATACGGCCTGGAACCAACATACCTAAGGGACCGTCTCTCCCCATATACACCTCAGAGAGCGTTACACTCTGACAGTCAACACCTCCTGCTGATCCCTGGCCCAAAGGACGTCCGCCTAGCCCCTCGACCAGGGCCAGGGCTTTTTCCGCCCTGGCCCCCCACCTGGTGGAACAGGCTCCCCCTTGAGATCAGGGCCCTACGGGATCTTATTCAATTCCACAAGGCCTGCAAGACGGAGCCATTCCGCCAGGCCTTTGGCTGAGGCAGCGGGCGTCCACTCATGGTCCCTCCGAGGTTGCGGTCTCCCACCTACTGGTAACCGGCCATACCTAGTTACATCAATGGGCCGGATTCTCCCTACAGCAAGCATGACTATTGATTTTATATGTTGTAATGTGTTTTAAATTTTATTGTATTTATCAAAATGTTGTAACTCGCCCTGAGCCCGGTTATGGGATGGGCAGGATATAAATGTGAAGAAATAAAATAAAATAAAATAATTTTTAGAATGTTATTTTTAATTATCCTTGTCTTGAGAAATCTGTTTTATGCTGAAACGCATCAGCAGAATGCAAATCAAACACTCGTTTTCTAAACTTGTACATTTATACTAATTACCTGTGGGCCGGTGTGTCATTTCAACACACCTGGGCTACCATCATCTTCTCCTGTTGCTCGCTTGAAGCATATGAAGGTCTGTCACTTAGAGGAGGGCAGGGAGCTGTTCCTGTCGGCAGCAGAGGAGGGGACTTGCAATCATGGGTTTAAATTAAGGGCATGAAAGTAACGGCTGGATCATAGCCCTTTTCCTCTTTAAAGCATCTTTCTGAAACATTCCGTTATTATGTCAAGTCACAGCTGACTTATAGCGACCGCATGGGGTTTTCAAGGCAAGAGACTTTCAAAGGCGTTTTGCCATTGCCAGCCTCTGTGTGCTCTTAAATGATCTGCCTTCCATAATATTGACCAGGGCTGGCTATTGATCTTGCCCATCTGTTGGGTGGCACCTACCCAGATGAGCAAAGCTGTTGTGCTGGAGCATGGGGGAAGACAGTCCCACAGATATAAGGGTCCAAGGCCATGAAGGGCTTTGTAGGTGTTGGTTAATACCTTGAATTGAACCCAGTAATGATGGGCAGCCAATGGAGTGACTGCAGAACAGTAATATATGTGTTCCACCTTGCTCCCGATAATAGGCAAGCTGCAGCATTCTGCACCAAACTGGAGTCTCCAAGTTGAAAGCCTTCTGGTGTGAAAATTTGTAGAACTGTAATGTTTTGGAGATGGGGCTGCAAGGATTCATAGCCATAAAGTCTTGTGACTGGAAGGACATCTAGTCCACCTCCCTTCTCAATATAGGAAAGCCCGAGAGCATTCCTGACAGATATCAGTGTTCCCTCTAAGCTGTGCGGGTGAACAGCCGCTCATTAACACAGGGAGCCCCTCTCAGCAGCACTCTGAAGCTGCATAGGATCTTGCACTGCCCGTGGCCCATTTTCAGATTACAGCAGTTATATTCTGCACAGGATGTGAACTGCTCTACTCAGTAGAGAGGAAACATTAGAGAGAACATTGGTGGCAATTCAGCATTTGCTTAAAGAGCTCCAGTGCAGGAAGAGTACCTCTCTCCCATAGTCGGTATTTTGTTGAACGGCTCATACTATTTGGAAAGTTTCTCCTAATGTTCAACCAAAATCTATACTCCTTTAACTTTAGCCTGTTAGCTCTACCGTGCAATCCTGTTCACAGTTACACCCTTCTAAGCCCATTGGCTCCTGTGTGTAGGATTCAGTTAGTTATATATTATGTGTGTGTAAAGTACCATTGAGTCCATAGGGCAACTCCATAGGTTTTCGAGACAAGAGGCAGAATTAGTTTGCCATTGGCTTCCTCTGCATAGCGATCTTTGTATTCCTTGGTGGTCTCCCATCCAAATACTAACCAGGGTCGACCTTGCTTAGCTTCCGAGATCTGACAAGGTCAGGCTAGCCAGTTTGGTGTCGTGGTTAAGTGCGCGGACTCTAATCTGGGAGAACCAGGGTTTGATTCCCCACTCCTCCTCCACTTGCACCTGGCTGGATGACCTTGGGCAAGCCGTAGTTCTGTCAAGAGCTCTCTCAGCCCCACCCACCTCACAGGGTGTCTGTTGTGGGGAGGGGAAGGGAAAGGAGTTTGTCAGCCGCTCTGGGACACCTTCGGGTAGTGAAGGGCGGGGTATAAATCCAATCCTCTTCTTCTTCTTCTAGCCTGGGCCATCCAGGTCAGTGTATGTTTTACATACAAGTATCAATTATTAAATCTCTGAAAGCGCTCTGGCAAAAAGACATCTTGCTGCTGTCATTTAATGAGCGAGACCTGTAAAGGGAGAACTGAAGGACTGCTCAGCCCTCCCGGGCAAGGTGAGCTTATACCACAGAGCACACAGTGGCACAATGCCTTTGCAACAGATGGTCCAGCTCAGCGCGAGTGTCACATCACCTGTTTAACCTTGTTATCTCACTCTTTCTGACAATAATAATATTTGAAGTTGGCAATTCAAGCGATAAGGGAATACTCTCAAGCTGTTGCTACTTTTTAATGCTCTCAGGATGCCTGATGGTTGTCACCATGGATCTCGATATATACGAATCTCTTTCCAATATATGACTAAACCCCTGGCCCCAGGGCAAGCCTAGAATGAGGGTTTTTCCAACTGTGTTCCAGTGAAATCCTGGGGTATGTTGCAAGCTCTGAGCAGGAGCTCTTAAGTTTGCAGAAATTCTGAGGAAATGATACAGGTCCAAGTTTGCTTACAAAGAGATCTTTAATAAAACAGTCAAGTGCAGGCTAAACTTCCATCAGCTGGGTCCTGGCTGCACTAGGGTTGGCAGGTCTTACCTCGTTTATAGCGGGGTGCTTCTCGGTCCGTCCTGGAGTTTTCTTCATGTATGGGAAACAGTGTCCTGGAAGTGAGGTCATCACACTGGGCCCGTGAACATGTTGACATTCTAGCATTTTGCCCAGAAATTCTAACCATAGAGTTTCTACCAAAATGCTAGAGCATCTATGTGTCGATGTGCCCGGCATGGTGACATCATGTCCGGGTGACATCATCATGCCAACCACATAAGCACAGGAGGGGGCTGTTCGGAGTAGGGCTTCCCCCGCTGGCCAGTTGCCTGGTGGTGGACTGAAGCCCCTAACATTGGGGAAAACCCTGCCCTGACTGGGGGTCTGGGAACCCCAGACAGCACACACACACACAGCAAAACTTAGCCAAATTCAGGACCCCATGCATAACTAAAACTACACATTTTATACCCTAAATGCTGGCTGCAAGACCAAAGAATGATTAATCAAACTATCCCAAACACTTGGATTAGCCAAGCTTTCTTGCACCTGGCTTCCAGTGGGGGGGAAGAAACTACCCAGGCCTTGAAGATAAACAGTTGTGTAGCATGGATGGGAATACATGATGATTTTTTAATCCAGATTATTCAAATACTTATATTTTTTCTGGTTTTATGAGTTTTTATATTAAGGTTTTATTAGGATTTAATAAAAACTTACTAGTGTCTTTCTAGCTGATGGTAGCAGATAAGAAACAACATTCTTCCCCCCCCCCCCTTTTAAGTTGTTTGGATGAAATAGCTATCTAGCTGTCCGGTGTTTTTAAGAGGCCTTCAGTGCAGTACTGCTGGTACAGCAGAAGATAGGTTTTTCAATAGATGTATTTGCTTGGAAGTATAGAGTTCATGGTTTTAGTTGTTTGGAGTAAAACTCTGCAGTGTCTGGGTCAGCATGGGCTTTAGTTTCATATCTGAAAACAACACCTTTTGTTTGGGAATGATGAATCCTTGGGTAGTATTAATAAGGGTTAGGTTAAATAAACACTTAAGATATCATGTAGTCACACCTTTTCCTGTAACTGACCAGTAGGGCTGCCAAATGCCCCCGGGGGGCGGAATTCCCCCCGCTTTCGAGCCCCGATTTCCGCTCCCGCGGAATCGGGGCCCGGGGGAAACCCCACCCCCGCGTGCGCGTCACCCGGAACATTTGGCAACCCTACTGACCAGTGAATGAATGACTACTCAAATGATGCTTTGTCATTTTGTGACCAATTATGATTTCTGGATGTTATCTTTCTATGTCATTCTGGGTATAAAACTTCATGTACTTCCTTGTATTGCTCAGAAAGCAGTCGATTTTTGATAGGCTAGTTTGGCCTAACTGTTTTCAGTTATTTAATTGCAATTATCCAAAGAACATGCTCCTCATTGGCTTTCGTTTTTTGGCTTCGGATATATTTGTACAACAGTTGCTAAGAAGCATGAGAGAGAGTGGGCAATCACTAAGCCCCAGCATATAGCAAAGATGGGGTCACCCAGGCCCCATACAAGGTTTTTCAGTGAGAAGAACAGTACTGGCTGACACATTTCTCTAGAATACAGCATGCCTACAAATACCTCTCTTATCCCACAGTTCGTCTCCAACTTGCTTGAATCGAATGTGCCTCCTAGAATGCCCCCCATAATCTTTTGTGGCTCATGAGGGTTTTCTCAGTAGAAAAGTGAACGTGAAAGGGGTTCCCAGAAATGCAGAAAGTCTGGAAACTTTTGAGTAGTACAGTCTAATGAAAAGTTGTTGGGTTTTTTCTCCCCAAATTCTGAGCACCAGTTAAGGCCTCTGTGGCCTAGATTTTACCTCATGAGTACTTATCACGAAGGAAAGGATTGTTGCTGAAGAGTTCCAGTGAGTTCAGCCTGTGTTTGAGAGGTTTTTCTTCCCTTTTGTTTTCTTGTTTTGGGTGGGCTGTTTTTCCTCCCAACTCTACAGGACCAATAAAGGCCGGGACATAAAAACGATAAAGTCTCTTCGGGTGCTGCGAGTCTTGAGGCCTTTGAAGACCATCAAGCGGCTGCCCAAACTCAAGGTATTGTCTTCTTCACTGCTGAAGTGCCAACAGCAGTCATTCTTCTTCAAAGCGACTTCTGTTCAGAACTGGTCCCACATAATGAACCACTGGCAGGAACTACCACTGACGACAGCCCCGAGGGAGCTGGGGGGCGGGGGTGGAGACTGAGATCCCACCGCTCTCACCACCGTTGTCTCTCCACAGCAGCACTTGTTTCTAGGGTGACCAAACGCAAAGGATTATGTTGATTTTTCGTACCCTTAATATCAGGGCTATTTTGGGGCAGGAACGCACAGGAACGGAGTTCCGGCTGGCTCCCAAGTTGGCCATGCCCAGCAGGAACTCATTAGCATAATAGGCCACACCCAACAGCAGGAACTCATTAGGATTGGCTACATTAGAGGTGTGTGGCCTAACATGCAAAGGAGTTCCTGCTACAAAAAAAGCCCTGGGTAAACAGAATAAGAAGCAAAAGGTGGGTGTGGCTGGATGACCAGACTTCTGGTAACATGGGGGTGCGGCCTAATGTGCTAATGAGCTGTGCTGTCAGGGGTATGGCCTAATATGCTAATGGGTTTCTGCTGTTGGGTGTGGCCTATTATGCTAATGAGTTCCTGCTGGGCTTTTTCTACAAAAAGAGCCCTGCTTAATATAGTTATGTATGTAGAAGTTGGGGAGATGCATTTTGGGGGATATGAACATTTATAATTTATAAATTAGTTCCGCCAGTTTAATTAGCGTTTCTCCGAAAGAGTCCCAGGCACCACCATTTGACAAGGTTGCTCTCGTTGAAAGTCCCTCCCGCAGGAGATGAGACTGGAGACATTCCTGCAGACCGCCTGAACAAATGATGCTGCTGGAACTGAGGGCTTGGATCCTAAGCAGTGTGAGCAGAGTTGCACTGGGAGGAAGTCGACTTGTTCTCCCCCCCCACACACCTTCAGCCTTCTGTCACCATCCTGAGATTGTGTCCCTGTGGAACAGCGTGGTGCAGCGTTGGCCGCCTACAGGTGGGGCCTGGAGATTGCCTGGAATGACAACCAGTCTCCAAACTATAGAGGCCAGCTCCCCTGACAAAAATGGCTGCTTTGGAGAGTGGATTCTATGGTATTATATATAGGGCTGCCAAGCCGCGTCGGGGGATCTGTGCGTCTTCACAGGATCCCTGCCGCGGGGGACAGCGATACGCGTTGCACCGCCGTCGCCAAGATGTGACGCTACATCCTGGTGATGGCGGTGCAACGCGTATCGCTGTCCCCCGCGGCAGGGATCCTGGGAA